TGGATGGATGGATGGATGGATGGATGGATGGATGGATGGATGGAAAGTCTTCAGCCCAGTCTTAAAACTGGACAATGTGTCAGCCTCATGGACAGAAACTGGAAGTTGGTTCCATAAGAGAGGAGCCTGATAACTGGAAGATTTTCCTCCCATTCTGATTTTGGAAACTTTAGGAACTGCAAGCCAGCCTGCAGTCTGAGAGCGATGTGCTCTGATTGGAAAATATGGGACAACAAGATCTGTAATATAAGATGGAGCTAGGTTGTTGAATGCTTTGTAAATTAGAAGTAAGATTTTGAATTATTTCTATGAATTAGTCATTGGAAAAACTAATCTTTCTTTCTATTCTATGATATAAACAGTGTGACTTTAAACTGTAATGACAGTGTGAGACTGGATTTGTTTTAAGATGAGAAAAATCCACTTTGGTCTTTCCCTTGTTAAGACTCACAATTAGATCACTAATTTGGTCAGATTTAAATTTTATTTCCAGACTGGGGTTGTTCACAGAGTTATCTACATTGAGTAAAATAATAATCCTTCATGACCTTTCTGCAGAACCACACTCCAGCTGAATTGAACCATCCTTTTATAAGTTCATCTCTTTGATTTACAGCAGATTTATCACATTTTCATGTCATGTTCACCAAGTTTACCTTTAAAAATCCTCTTTTTGTTCTGCCCTTCCCATTGGCCTGTTTCATAGCCTCTTCTTTTAAAGTCTGAAGTAACTTTTAAATAAAGGTAAAAACATCAACCAAACTGATGAATTACAATTTGTGAGTTGCGATACGAGCCTCTTGACCTAAAATGAGATGTGCACCATTCAGAAAACCTCAGTGAAAGCTTAAGAAGCAGCCAGATGACAGTGCATTTATAAACAGAGTACTTTTTAAATTTTATTTAGAAGAACCAACTGAATCACTCACTGTGGATGTAAAGGTCACTCTTGTACTGAAGTACAGCTCAGCAATACTTTTAATCACATTATGCAGTTCTTACTGTTGAGCATTCAGTCACTAAAAGTCACATTTACTTTAAACGTACTTTTTCAAGCACTCCCCATCACACGAGCAGCTTGTTTCACTATTATGATAAGTCGTTGTTTACTGCTCAACTTAATATCTGCTTTGTCTTTAGCTAACACAACGTTCGACAAAATAATAAAAAGTGTTTAAGCCAAGTTTAAAGGTGGAGAGCTTATTATTTGATAGTCTACCTCAACGGTAGTGTTCAAATTGTCCAATCGTTACCAATCAGCCTAACATGCATGTTTTTGGTCTGTGGGAGGAAACTGTAGTACCCGGAGAAAACCCACGCATGCACGGAGAGAACATGCAAACTCCACCCAGAAAGGCCCTCTGGCCAGGATTCAATCCGGCGACCTTCTCGCTGAGAAGCAACAGCTCTATCAACTGAGCCACTGTGCCACCATTCATAACATATTTGCTACAAATATGTGTAAATATTTTTCAGTGTTTCAGAGACAGATGATGTTATTTATATTTTCTCAGCTCAAACCAGCAAAATTTTGTTGCCCATCTTTTCAGATGCAGACATGTATTCCAGAGTTGGGTTGCTGCCCTCTATATCACTGTAATGCCACTTTAATTGGTGATATGTGACTTATCTGTGCTGCTGATTATCCATGCTGCTGATCTCTTGCCTTTATTGCTGCTGTATTCATATCCATCTACTCACTACAGACTCAGGTTTGGGCTGCTGTTTAATACACCATATTATTTTACATTATTAGTGTTTAGTGTATGTCTTAGATCTTAGTGTATTGTGTAGCATTCATTTATCTTAGTGTATATCTTAGATCCATATATACTGTCTCTTTTATACTTTATATTTTTTCTATTTTGGGTGTAACTGGAATCTTGAGTACACAATTTCCTTCCACCTCATGTACCACATAAGATGTGAATGTCAATAAATGAACTTGAACTTGATATAGTATGTTCATTAGAGATGGTGAGTGAGTGAGTGAGTGAGTGAGTGAGTGAGTGAGTGAGTGAGTG